AAAATTCTCTAGTTGTGTTATTATATGATCTTGAATTTTCCAGATATACTTTTTAACTTTTCTTTCAAAAACCAAAATTTTATCATAGTTAGTTTGTAATTGATTTTCTTGGCAATATTAAACTAGTGCCTCAAGTAGGTGTTTCTGGCCCAATCTGGTACGTGAAAGAAGAGCAGCGTCATCTGCATATAACAAAGTAGAAATTTTCCTTTTGGCTAATGATGGACAATGGCCCTAAACCTGAAGTAATGTGGTATCCAGATCATTGAGATAGATGTTAAATAGTGTAGGGGCCAGGATGCAACCTTGTCTCACTCCCTTCTTCACTATAATATCATCTGTAAGTGCACATTTTCTGTTGTGTCTAACTTGCATTATACTATCTTGATACAGTGCCTGTATTAGGTATGTAAGACGCCTGTCAGGAACCAAATTTTCTAATTTGGCCCAAAGTTTGGTTCTGTTAACAGAGTCAAAAGCGCCTTTAAAATCTACAAAAGCAGCAAACAGTTTACCTTTCAGGAAAATGGAGTATTTTCTTGCCAAATAGGCTAATACAAAATATTGATCAATTGCTGACCTGCCTTTTCTAAAAGCAGCCTGAGCATTTGTTAAAACAGAATGTTCCTCAAGGTAAGAAATTAATTTTTCATTTAAATGTCTTGCATAAAGTTTTCCCAGAACTGATAACAAACTGATAGGCCTATAATTGGCAGGGTTTTCTATATCTCCCTTCTTATATAGGGGGACTACTATAGCCCAATTCTTTTCTAAAAGCAGCCTGAGCATTTGTTAAAACAGAATGTTCCTCAAGGTAAGAAATTAATTTTTCATTTAAATGTCTTGCATAAAGTTTTCCCAGAACTGATAACAAACTGATAGGCCTATAATTGGCAGGGTTTTCTATATCTCCCTTCTTATATAGGGGGACTACTATAGCCCAATTCCAGCTCAACAGGATTAAACCAGAGCTATCTATTGCAGTGAATAGGGCTGCTAATAAGGGGCCCCACCAATCTAGATTTTGTTTGAGGAGTTCAATGGGTATATTATCTTGACCAGGAGCCTGCCAGATTTTACTTTTGATGTAAGGTCAGTAATCTCTTCCTCTAGCACTGGTTCCCACTGTGGAAGCGTAAGTAACTTTAATCTAATGTTATTTGCTATATTTATGACAGGTTGCTCCTGCTCCATAAACATTGATTTAAAATATTTTCCCCAGGTTTTGGATAGTATACAACAATCCTAAAGAGAGGGAGCAGTGAAATCCCTGGAAATTAATTTCCAAAAGGTTTTAGAGTCTTTATATATAGAAGCATTTATTAATAATAGCCAGGAATCTCTCTCTGCTTTCTGTTTCTTCTGACATAATAGTATCTTATAATTTTTCTTCTGACATAATAGTGTCTTAGAATTTTTCTTCAACTCATAATATTTTAAAGGGGGCTGTTGTAAATTAGACTTTCTGCATGCTAAATATAGAGCTCTTAATTTTTTCTTAGCTGTAACCCAGTCCACATCAAACCAACTAGAAGCGGTACTCAGTTGAGTATTTCTTTGATTTGTTGTAGTGGATGCTCCAGATACTAGAGTTATACTGATTAGGATTGTTAAAATATTAAAAGAAATTATTTTTCTGTAGAACTTCCATCTTTTATTATACATGATCTAAAATCCAAAGCTTGGGTAGAGTTTAAACTGTAGCTAAATAATTATTTAGATTTTCTGCCCAAGAAATCTTGCAGTAGAAATTACTTTCCTGAAGAATCTCTGGGGAATAGTATTTGGTTAGACAAATTTCTTTATTATTGGTTAACAAACTTAAAACTATAGGTTGATGATCACTATCTGATCTGGAGCCAACATTAAATAATCTGACAAAGGGAAATAAATTGGTCGATGTTAATAATCTGTCACATTTGCTCCCCACCCACAAGTAAATGTGAATTCACCAGGATAATCATGTCCCATTGAACCATTTAAAATTATTAAATTTAACTTATTGCAAAGACTAGCTTAACAAGATCCCGCATAGTTAATGTTCTGTTCTGTAGACCGTCTGTCATACAATCCACTTTCCCAAGGTTTGACAGATAAATAAGGAAACTTGGCTGCCCATGCTTCATTATTAGGGCCAATTCTGGCATTTAAATCACCCAGAATCACAAAATGTGTATGGGGGAATTTTAAAAGCAGATTGTATATATATTGTTCCAGTTCTGTTCCAATATGTTTAGTTTGGAATTGTGTTTTAGGTGGTGGAAGATAAATTATATATATTGTTCCAGTTCTGTTCCAATATGTTTAGTTTGGAATTGTGTTTTAGGTGGTGGAAGATAAATCATTTAAATCACCCAGAATCACAAAATGTGTATGGGGGAATTTTAAAAGCAGATTGTATATATATTGTTCCAGTTCTGTTCCAATATGTTTAGTTTGGAATTGTGTTTTAGGTGGTGGAAGATAAATATTTATGATTATTAAATCAAAATATTTTAATTTTAAATGTATTGTAATAGCATATTGTTCATAGTGCCCTACTAAGGTTGTTTCCACCTTTAAAGCACTGGAGACAAGGATTGCTATGTTAACTTTCTTGGAAGTTCTAGAAGCCTTTACAATAAATGGAGTAAAGCCCCGAAGATAAAGATAATTGTGCATCCAACTTTCCTGTAATAGAATAATATCAAAATTGCTTAAATATTAAGTAAAAGAAATATCATTACATTTGTTGAGCCAACCAGCAATATTCCAGGAAATTATTGTCAGAGTGGAGTGTTTAGGGTTATATTCTGAAAGTAGTCAATCATCAACATTAATGTGCTTTAGTAATCCTTCTTTATCATCACAATAATTCCTGCTTCTAGAATTACTTGCTGGTGAGTTTTGGGCGGACCTAGGGTCCTTATAAAGACTACTGGATTGACTGGGTTACCACTTAATTCATTGACCTCCAAGTATCTCATTTGTTGCCAGTTTGAAGCAGACTCAGTGTTAGGTTTGTTCTGCAATCTTTTTGTTTCTCTTGCGCCTTTTGCTTCCACATCAGGGGCAAACATTATGCTTGATTTGCTTGATTAGTTATTTTCCCTGATGATTTGACTAGCTGGTCTTTAAATTTACAGGATTGATGTACAGTTGGCTGTATTTTGTAAAAACGAGATACTATGATACATTTTTTATTAAAGAAATCCTTAAGATCGAATATGTTATCTGCTGTTTCTGTTGTTTTGAATGTAACAATTGCTCTTGCTTTAAGATAGTTAAAAAATAAGTATTCAGTTTTGCTAATCATATTTGTAGTGATTGATGGAATTAAATGTTGGATCAATTGAACAAAGTGTAATTTCTGTTCCAATTGAGATAACATTCCTTTACGTTTAGGATAATTTATAAAAGCCAATTTATTAGGCACAGGTTTAGGATTCCAGGGTATATTAAATAACTTAGTAATGATGTTTTTGCATTTACTGCATTTGGAATTAACCATAGTTGAATCTTCTGGCACTAAAGGGCATAAAGATTGTTGCACATCCACAGTTATTTGAGTTTGACAAGCAGTTGACTTTCTCTTCTTCTCACTAGGATCAACTGTCAATAAGATAGAGCTTATACTGTTATTATTTTCACAGTCTATGTTTGAAGTCCTCTTTGATATCTTATTTAACTTCATATAATTCTTTCTTTTCCTTTTTGTTGTTATTATGCGCATCTGTAATATTACAGTCTATTAAATTTTAGCTTCCCAGCCAGTTTACTTGTTTTATAGTTCTTTATATTTTTGCTTTTTTTCTTCAGCTATCCTTGTTTCGATTTAAACTGTTTAGATAATTTCTTTGTATTAGAATTATTTGAGTTTAAATGTTCTTTCCTGGAATTCAATGGTTTACTTGTTAGCTTTGGGCACTGTAAAAGGTTATTTCTTTGCTCTGCTGCTTTAACTGTGTCACATTTCTCCACTTTCACCTTTTGTTGGACCAATTTAGTGACAATAAAGAGAAGGAGCTTGCACTCAGTTAAAAAGTTTTTAATTAGAGGAAGTTCCGCATCCCATTTTCTACTTAGTTTATCAGTTGATTCCTGCAATTGCTTCAAAGTATCCAACACTGGGTAAAAGGTTCTCTGCTATAAAGCCGTCATTCTAAGTCTTTTTGGCAACCATGCATCATAAAAAGATAAGTTCCTTTTATTTGTTCAGTATCCTTGGTCAAGCTTTGGCTACTTGCAGTCTCTTGAGAAATAAAATAATAAGTAAATTTTAATTGTCTCTGTTGTAAATTATTTAGCCCAGCTTCCTGTGTTAGAGATTGCAAGCCAAGTTGTGCATAGCCTCTGCAAGTGAGAACCATTATATATAGTAGCTTGTAATTCTATCTCTTCAATTATTTTAGCATCTACATGCAAAACAACCATTAATAATTTCCAAGGTTTTATAAACTTTAATCAGTATTTCCTGCTGGTACCTTAATGTTTGTTGTAGTAACAGCGTTATCTTCTAAGGTCAGGGTTAGTGCTACTCCCTTTGCTTTCTATTTACTAAAATAGCCTTTAATCACTTCTTTTGACGTAAAATTAGCCAGAAGTAGAAAAAATAAAGTATTATCCAAAGGAGCTGTCTGGAGGCTCAGCTTCTCACATTGCCATCTTAACTGGAAGTTGCCACTCACAGGCCAATTGCAGGCAAATTTTTAAAAATCTCTTTTAAGTGTACCAAGCTGTGTTCCAAATTCTGTTGTTCTCTTGGAAACTGGGCAATGCCCTTTGAAAACAAAGGCCTGGTTAAGCACTAATAAGTTTTGGTTGCAAATATATCTTTTTAAAAATAAGGAAGGATTGCTTCAGGAAATTCCAAATGAATCTTTTGTAGGTATGTGGTTTAAACAAGTGACTTAAAAGATAAATCAGACTGGCATTGATCCTGATTATTTATTTTCCAGGGTATGTCATCAGCATTTCATTGTATCAAACAAAGATTATGGGATAACTCAGTACAGGAATTAATGGCCAAAGCCAATGTATCATGTTCACCTGTAACTTTTGGCATTAATTACAGATATATTTTTCAACTCCCTAAATATTTGGATAGCTTATATATAAGTAAATACAGAATAGCTTTCTCAAAAGCCAGATTAAATGTATTGCAATCAAATATGCTATATGGTAGATTTCAAAAAATTCCCACCTCTCAAAGATTTTGTCCCTGTAATGATCCTGATCCTGAAACATTAGATCATATTTTATTGTATTGGGAATTTTATAAGAGTCTTTGGCAGGAAGTTACCTGGCCTATTTTAAAATCTAAACCAGGAAGGGATACTTCTGAGTATGTAAAAATTTTACTT